TAAAGAAACTGTATTCAAATTTTTTTAGGGGAAGATTGCCATAGACTTCACCATTCTGTTGTGGTGGGGTTGGCCTGGTTTTTCTCAGCCACTTTACCTGCCTAGCCTCTCTCCAGTGAGGTTCAAACCAGTGTCCTGTTCTGTAGAAGGTGTAAAGGAGGTTTAGAAGTGGATTGATCAGATTGCTGCCTCGGGTCACCCAGCAGACTGAGCAGCCCAGGACTGTTTCCTACACCCCATCCTCTAGTTATTGGCCTAGAAACCAACTCACATATAGCCTCCACACCAAGCAGTTAGAGAGGATGAGAGCTCATTGCCGGAGAATCTGACTTGTGAAACGTGAATAATGAACCGTTTCTCACTTGGGGATTCTGAAAGCAAATCCTAATTCATGTAGAATGAACGTTTGAACACTGAAAGCTGACAGTGAACTTACAAGATCATTCAAGAGTGTTACAAGATGGTGATTATGCAGAGGTGCTTAATCTTCTGACATTTACCACTAACCTAAAGCTACAAGCTTAGTCTGTTTCTAGAGTGCAACGTAAATGTTATATGATTGAAATGCTGGTGTATGTAGCCCCAAGAGCTACAGGGCTGTCTTCTTTTGCTCCAGATCACTGCATTAAGCCTTTTTGGAATGGAATTTGGGTATGCAAATGTTACTTTTATGAAGTTTTCAAAATTTCCATATTGCAAAAAGATTTCATCCTGAGACATGAGAGTTCCTCAAGAATTTCAGAATTTCTTCTTAAGAGTAGACATCTATAACTTTTACAAAGGATTGTAAATGTGCAAAACTAAAAGGCAGTGTCTACTTCTAAAAGCTTCCTGAATTTATGACCTGAATGTGCCATTTACATGTCACAGTCATACTACTATGCAGTCTGTTCATGAACTCTGAATAGTGGGATTACAAGTTACTGCAAAGGAAATTAGTCTAATTTGTAAATTTACTGGACCCATTCTTCATGGAAGGAGTATGTGTGTATGCCTTCAGTTTTTCTGAATATTTCTTACACTGAAGAAAATATTGTAAATATTTAAAAATCAGGCCCAAATGTGAATATTTTGCATTAGGAGCTCAACTACACACTTTTCTCAGGGTAAAATCACGTTTGGATGCTTAGGCCCAGACATTGCTTACACATTGCTGAGTATAAACCAAGACAACCCTTCTGAATTCATGTATTTTCAGCAAAAGGGAGAACAATCAATATTTAGTAAGATATTAAGAAATTTTATATCACTTGGGGATGAGTTCCATTTAATGATGAATAGTGTTAAAGAAGGAGAGAAATAATTATATTGCTTTGACAAAACATTCTTCACTGTATCTCAAGTGTATCTTTGCTCTGAAGAGTTTGCTAAAACAAATGCACTCATACTTTTGGTATAGCAGACAAGTGTAAAAGAGAATAATTTTTGCTTCTTCGCATAGTGAAATAATCTCGAGATTGTGTCTGTATGACAAAGACTGAGCTAAAAGAAATAAGAAACATTTATGCATGATAGAAATCTTTTCCACTTTTGAGTCTTCAGTCAGAACTTTGAGATGAAAGCTTTTAGATCTTAGATGCTTACTGAAATAAGGGATTTTCCCACATACTTTATGGTCTCTTAAATCTCTCCAGCTATTAAATAGGCAAGAAGAAGTGCTTCTCCATATTTTTATTTATCTTTACAATTTTCCAGATAGCCATTGTACCTGTATTATTCATCAGTTAAATACAAAAACAGAATTTTCAAATGAAGCCATCAGTCATGCCTTGTCAGGCCATAAACATTCCAGATTCCAGAACTGAAATCTTTTCTTCCCATATGAACTGTTCTTTGTAGGTAACAAAGCCACAAGGACCCTTTGTCATGAGAGTCTTTTATTCAAAAAGAACATGAAAGTCACAGCATCTTTCCTCCTTTGCATTTAGAGGTGTTTTCCCCCCAGGCAAGCATTAAGTCACTTAGTAACTGACAAACCCTTTGCAGCTTAAAAATTCAATCCACCCACTTGTGAATTATTGTCAGATTCATCCTTTGAAGGTCAAGCCCAGCATGTGTCTCGTCCCATGTTCCACTGACTTCTCAGGCAGGTACGAATGCAGACAGACCATTTGTGGAAGACACAGTCCGTTCCACATGAGAGATGACCAAAAGCACTGAGTCAAATAGGTTACGTATAACCAACATCTACTTGGAGAGGATGGAAGGAAAACAAAGCAGACAGGTCTGCAGCCTTTATGGAGTCTCTTCCCACACTAACAGTGGTGCTCACCCATTTGTTTGATGGCTGCCATAAGCTGCAAGCTGCAAGCTTTCCATACAGTGTCTGAATAACTTGATAGAAAAGCCCAATGGGAAAGATGGCATTCTCTTTATTTTGCATGTTAAAAACTTAGGTCTAAAGGAGTTAAACAGTTGGCTCCTGGTCACCCTGCTGGTGAGAGGAGCACTTGGTTCTAAATCTCATTTCTGTTCATTCTGCTGTTACATGGTAGGATTGGCTAGCACCCGGAGACTAGACAAGGATGCAGGGACAAGACCTAGGAAACAGTAAAAATGTCTCCACAAAAAAGTAAGGTCCATGAAGGCAGGAACCTTTTTCTCCATATCCTTAGAACCTAGAAAATTGCTTGACATTTAGGGACTCAATAAATTTTTTCTTTCCCCACAAGGAAGGCAGGAAGAGAGGAAGGGAGGAAGGAAGGAAGGAAAGTAGGTTGACTTTTCTAATTCTAATTGTTGAATATAAAATACGCTAAATCAAGAGTGGGGAATTCTTATCTGCTGTGCCTCTATGGTTGCTTCTTGGGGATAGTATATAGACCAGTTCTTCTCAAATTTGAATGTGCATATTAAGCACTTGCAGATCTATTTTAAGATGCTGATTCTGGTTCAGTAGATCTTGGCTAGAGCCCAGGATTCTGCATTCCCAGCCAACTCTCAGATGATGAGGAGGATGATCTTGGTCTGCAGACCACCTCGTGTATCAGGAGTGCAGAGTATTCAAACAGGATGTTGATGGACAGTGGTCCTTGATTTCATTGCCTTTTGTGAACTTCTGTAGTTCTAGGATTTGAGCAGGAATAGGATGAAGGAGTCTTAATAAGTGTTCATGTTTCGACTTAACAAACTCCAAGGGCAAGATTAAAGTCTGAACAGGAGAAAGTGACCTCAACTGCACATGCAAATATGCACTTGCCCTGAGAAGGATCAAAAAAAGGTTACTCTACAAACAAAGCAAAATCAAACCAATAGCTGAAATCTGCCACAAGTGAGAAAACAGTTACAGCCTTTTCTATTTCTTTGTAATTTTGCTCTTTTAAGTTCAAAAGAAAAGACATGAGGCCTCCAGTTTTTCCTCTTAATTTTATTTTGGTTTCTCAGAAGAAATGTTGCTTTAGATCTGGGAGACTTGTATGGGAAGATGGAAAAAACTCAAAAAAGTCTTGATTTTGAAAATGAGCAAATGATAAAATATTACTTTAAGCAATAGGAACTGGACTTCTAAATTTATTCATTTTCTGTGGCCTCTGTCATTACAATTTTGTTATGCATTATTTCAAATATAGAAAATGAAGTAAACATATAATCAAGTATAATGACGAACATCCATATACCCACTACTCACTTTAATAAAACCAAGAAAGCTAAATTTCCCAATGTTTGCCCCAAAATGTATCCCTCTTTCCTCTCCATGCAAGCTTTAAAGTCTCTTAAACTTGAGGTTTTTATATTTTCATACATTTTAAAAGATGTTTAATACATTCCTAATACTGCTTTATGTGTTTTAAACTTTTATACACGGTATCAAAGTGCATTTAAAAATGTTTTTATCATTATTGGTAAGATTTTTCCATATTTACAAAAGTTCATACATTTTCACAGCTATATAATATTTCATTTAACTGTACGCACTTTTATTTGTAATAATGCTCACATTTCCTCTCTTTGTATGCTTTCACAGTGTATACCATTTCCAGGTTAAATATTTGATATATGAATACAACAATTTTTATATGGCCCATGACAGGATGAAAGATCTCTGGACTAAAATTCAAATGGATACTGTTTCTGATCCAGCAATTAATAGTTTGGGAAGAGTTGACATCCTCATCTATAAAATGGGCATTTTATTACTTATTTTCTCAAACTTACTATAAAGAGCAGTCACAATACCCTAAAGTTTATAGAACTGATAGCAGTGTAATTTTAATATAAAAACCAAATCTTCTGGGAGGTAGCTGGCTTGATTTATACAGTGGATGTGTTCTTGATATTTTGGGATATTTAATAAGTTTTTAAAGGCGATACCTACTTTGATGTCAGGTGTACTTTCTATTTAAAAAATTCTGATTTTTCCATTTAAAAACCAGCTTTCTTTTTTTTTTTCTTTTTTTTCTTTTGGCTTCCCAGTGATAAATATGGCTCTGGGGTTAGTGTCTTTACTGTTTCAGGCCCCCTAGGTGGCATTTAGGGTCTTTTACCACAGTGTACCATTTAGGAAATAACACTGTGATGGCTTAGAAGAGTGGAAAGTGCCTCTGGGACAGGTATTTACCCAGACAAATTGAAATGGATAGTTGAGCACTTAGCCAATTAATTTATTAAATGTGCTCAGTCAGTCTGGATAAATCAAAGAAATGAGGTTTTTCTCACCTTGATCGGCAATATGAGATTGGCCTGAAGTGCATGAGATAATTACCTCAATTTTCTACTTCGCCTATACAGACCTAGCCTAATTTTTCCCCTAGTGAACAAACTGAATTATTCTCACCTCTTCAGAAAATCTTTAACTTTTAGATGCTCTTCTGTTCTGCTTTCTACTATAATTTAACCTTTTGTTTCTGTTAAAAAAAACTTGGGCATGTTTGATCTTCAGTTATGTAACAATTAAGTGATATATTCATTGCCTTTCATTGATAAGAAAGCTGATGTTTAAAATAGATAAAAATGTTTTAATATACTAAAAAGGGGAAAAATCCTGGATATTTGTTTTACAGATGGCAGCTGAATGGAAGCGATATTAACCTGAGTATGGAGTATCGTTACAAGTTAAATGGAGGAAATCTTGTGGTCATTAACCCCAACAGAAATTGGGATACAGGAAGTTATCAATGTTTTGCAACAAATTCACTTGGAACAATTGTCAGCAGAGAAGCTAAACTCCAGTTTGCCTGTAAGTGTTATGTTCACACATCTAGCCAGTCCAAGATTTAAAAATATATTACTGACTTTAGAGTCATTTTGGATTTCAGAAACTAGACGTAGATTTTATTAAGTAAGTTGAGAAAACAATTCAGTATGATTTTTTGGAACTCTAACGACTGTGCAAATCAGAGCTTAAAATGTGTGTATGTATGTGCGGGTGGGTGTATGTGTGTGTGCATGTTTTCTGTTTTACTATTTTGTAAGGATTCTGTTGAGGGGAGGAGGAAGAATATAGTTAAGGATGTGTTTATTCATTAGTTACTCTGTGCTTTGTTCTGTGTTGGAACTGAAAAGAATACGAACGAATTGTCAGGCATGACCTTTGCTCAGGAAGAGCATGAAGATTAGAGAATTACATCTAACAAATCTGAAAATATTAAGGGACAGAGAGTGTGAGAAAGAAAAGAATGTGACAAATCTTTGACCTCCATTGCCTGGCTCAGGATGACCTTCAGCACAACCCCCATGGAGGCCTGGCTCTGGGAGCCAAGTTTGTACCATGTTAATTGGAGCAGGGTGAACCCATGTCCCAACCTGAGAAAATCACATGCTTTCAGCAGGGAATTTAGAATTGGGACCAGAGATTGCATTTAGTGTTTGTCTTCCTGTTTTGTACGTTTTGTTTCTTCTCTCTAGTCTCTCTTCCTTTATTTTTTGGTGCGTATTTCATATACAGTGAATATCAGTGTTACCTTGGTTCTGCAATTTCTTTTAGTTGTTTACACCTCAATAATTCTAAAATTAGATTGCATGTGTTCTTATAATGGTAGCAGTCTCCCCCCACCATTGCCACAAACCATTTATAAATTGATGAGGTGTCATTTAATGCATGGCTTATTCTATTGCTTTCTGTTTTTGATAATGGCAATGGTTGGTTTTATTCCTGCCATTATATTCTGTGTGTTCTGCCTTTCATACTTCCTTGCTCTTTCTTTTGATTCTCTGTCTTTTTTCTTTTTTCCCCCTCTATGAACATTTTTTTTTACCCTGAATTTTCCGAGTATTTTAAAAGCTATATATCATATTTATATTACATAAGGTTAAGTTTACCTTTTAATTTATGGAAGTACCTTTTAGTTTATAAAAGTTTCCTTTTCTAGTAGCCAGAATTTTAAATTTAAATTATTTTTTCAGAGTCTCCTCCTTTTGAACAATGAGTTTAGTTCCTTTTTTTGTCCTACTGTACACTTTACACTCACAGTGACTCACATATTACTGATTTACATTGGTATGATGTCATTTTAATATATATATAATCTGTGTGAACAAATATGATACTATTTATATATGCAAATATGTGTTTATATATAGTAAATATAAATAATATTCTCCTTACACATAATTTTATATGTATATATTATCTTTAACTAGGATTTTGCCAAAATTTATGATACATCTATGTTTTACCTGGCTGCATTGTCAGCCGCAAGATTTTCCTGTCTTTTCTGAATTTCTCAATTTTTACATATTTGGAATATTTCATAAATTACATTGAAAAACATAACTATATTTCATCCTATTGCATTTTAAAGAATTTTATTATATTGCTTTAAATATGAAGACACCTGATTGGTACAAATGTTGGATCTAAAAACTGTTTATCAGAGAATTCTAAGTGTGTTGTTCTGTTGCCTTCTGGAATTTGTGTTACTGAACAGAAGTCCAGGACTATTTTCTGTTTCTTGGGAACTTACTGTTGTCTCCTTTTTTGTTGTTATTTTTTTTGTTTGTTTCAGCTGGTTGTATTTTTTGTTTCAATTGGTTTTATCAATGAGATAATTTTTTCTCCATCCTTTTAGTTAAAAAACAAATACATATATGTGTTTGTATATGTGTGTGTATATATATATATATCTCCAGCATATAGCTAGGTTTAGATCTCTTTTAATTTACTTTACTTAGAACTTGAAAAAATTATTATTATTCTTACACATCTTATACATAATTCAGGAAATTTTCCTATATCTTTTAGTTGTATGTTTGATTTGATTGTATTTTTAAAGGATTTATTTTTTTGTCCCATTTCTTGAAATACTTTTTATTTCAGTCTGTGCTTTCCTATGAATTTCTGTTTCTGATTTATTATATTATTCTGAGGATAGAGTCAGTGTTCTGAAATGCTGTTTTGGATCTTAGAGGCAGTCTTCTCTTGTACTTCCATTTGATGTTTCCATTCTTAGGCTTAATATCTTGAATAGGCTGTGAAGCAAATTTTGTCCAGTCTAAGGCTTTATCAACAGATGTTAATGGACTGCCCTGGCTCTGCTGTCTTTGCCACATGCAGTGACCAGATTCTCTTCTCTGATCTACAGGGGAATACGCAGTTCCCAGTCTAATTCCCTATTGCCAGGAGTCTTTCACAAAACACATTATTCCTCTTAATATTTTTCTACTGCAGGTTCTTGATACCCCATAATAGCTGAAGAAGTATTATTGACTTACAAGTTTTTCCCCCTGTACAGTCCATCCTTCCTAAAGAGTGTGGCTTGTTTGGAAACACTTCTAAAATTATATCATGTCTCTTGCAGTCTGCCTCTACTCCCTGGCCAGTACTTTATCAGCAAACTAGGAGAAAATTATTAAGTCTGGGATTTTATTGTACTGTACTTTCAAGCTAATAAGCTAGCCTGCTACTATTCAATGGATAGTGGCAGATGATGTGATATTTCTGGGTCAGTAACAAAGAGCTTTATTATTCACAGCACAGCAAGCAGTGTGCTCTAGTTTATGTCAACCCCGAGTCCCATGGAGGTGATACGATTTGGGCAGGACAGATGCTGCAACTGCAGCTGAGGAACACTGAGATTAGAGAATCCACCTCTTTTCTAGCAAGCAGTAAGCAAGCCTGCTCTTTGTCCTAGTGGGAGAGTTTGTCTTATCCCTCCTGGTTGCTCTCTGAAAACACATCCCTGAGAATCACTGGGCCTTTCATTCTTGGCACACCCAGCAAAAACTTACAAAGAAGCTAAGAGCACATAGTGAGTGGATTGCCTCTCCCAACAAGTTTTGTTTTTTGTTTTTATGGTACTGTCCTTGAGTTTCTACATTGGGTGCACCCTATGAGGATACATGTGGTGGGTAAGGTACACAATATCTTCCTACCTTTGCTGTAAATTTTCTCTTTCATAAGGAAAACCTAGAATGTACCATTTAGTCCCTTGGGTTTCCCCACAGTCTATCCACATTGGCCTGATAAGTTTTATTTACTCCTGTGCTTGCTGTTAGATTGCTTTTGCAGTCTTGATGACAGTGAGATTCTATTGTTTTGTTTGTCTTTTTTTTTTTTTTGGTGTTGTCTTAAGTGGTTTTTGGAAGTTACAAAAAGCAATATGGGGTGTTCTTAACTTGATGCCACATTGGACTAGAAAGGTAAAAAATGAACTTTTGAATTCATATGGTTGAGATAAAGGTTTCTGGTAAAGAAACCAAAGAAGTTGACAGAAGTGGAGGATATTTAATACATCAGGGATTCCAAATTACTAGGTATAAGAGAGCATGGCTTTTACTTGACAGCCGTGAAGGGAAGTAATACAGTAACTGAAAGAAGGGGTTAGCTAATAAGGAGACCCTTGTACTACTACGTGCAAGTCCTATGATGCTCTTGAATCCAGTTCAGGGGAATCGTGACTGCCTTTGCCGCAGGTAAATGGTCAGTAAAGTGTTGTCACTGAAAAATGTTCTGATTATTCACTATAGTTACATCTCCTCTTGACTATATTGTATGTTTACATGCTTAGTAATACTAATTTTTTTCTGTCAGCCATGCAGAAAGTACTAAAAATGTGCTTCCTGGAGAAATGAGTAAATGATAGTATTCTCAATGCACCACTTTTTTTAAAAATCTATTTTTATATATCGTGGCTAACTAACATTTGTAAATCTCGAACTCCCAAACGCACCACTTTTAACGCTAGTGAAAACACAATGAAATTTTATGTTAATTTTCAAGTTGGTTAAAAATAATATTTGTAATAAAATGAAAGTGAAAGCCTATTTGTAATTTAAGAAGCCTGCTTTCGGTAGGTATTCTCTATTTTTTTTAATAGATTCTTTGTGGAGCAGTCACAAAACTTAGGGAGGGGAAAAATACGTAAAACGATGCAGTGTTTGAGTTGCAGACATTTTCACAATTATTTGCTGTTATGTTACATGTGTATAATTTTTGAAGCTTGTTTAATACATTTGAAAATCTTTTTTTTAGATTCTTAATTCTAACCCCAAAAGATCAGGATAGTACCTCCAAAACCCCAAATATTTTTGCTTAATTAATACTTAGTTTTACTTTTCTTATTCTTGAATTTCCTGTCAGTCTTTATAAAAATTTTTTATTTTAACCATTTTTGAGGTACAGTATATTTTTCATCATAAATTAGACATACAAATGGTTTTGGAGGAAAGTCTGTCTGTGTAGCCACGACTTAAGATTTAAAGATTCAAAGTATAATTAAACCTACCTGGTAAGTCACCTGATGACTTGTCCTTCTCTCTTAAGTCCCCTCTGCATTAGGTATTCACTGTTCGGAACTGAATGTGTTTTCTTTATCCTTTGAATACATATGTATGTGCTTCTATACAATGTGGAAACCTGGTTTACCTTCTTAATTTCTTAAACTTTTATATAATGGCATCATACTGTACTCCTACATCTACAACTTTTTTCCCTCAACATTATATTTGTATCTGTTGATCTGCATACTTGCCAACCCTTGTTATTGTTCTGTATTTTAATTTGTGCAAATCTGGTGAATTTCAAGTTGTATTTTACTTTTTAATTTGCATGTTCATTTTTAACTTAAAATTTAATTTTGGTTTTAATTTGCATTTCTATAATTATAGTGAAATTAAGCTCTTTTTTCTTTTTCATATATTTGTTGACCATTTATGCTTCTGTTATCTATATACTTTTCACTGTATGGTAGTCTTTTATTTTTTTTAAACTTACAGTTCTTTGTATACTCTGAATTAATC